AATCACTGCAGTTGTTAAGTGAATCATGCATTTGTCGAACGAATTTGGCTTTCCACATTGACTCTGCTGGTCGGAAGCCAGCTGGGAAGGTTGCGAATGGTGATCACGTGATCCTGGGACACTGCAACCGTGGTAAATACATGCAGACTGCCCAAGTACTTAAATTTTGATAACGTGGCTGTGGGGATGCTACAACAGTTGTAAGTGTGGCAACTGTTTGCAAGTAACTTTCTTCAGTGCCATTGTAACTTCGAAGAGCGGCTAAATGAATGGTTGTAAGTTGAGGACTATCTGTATTGGGATGTGCACAAAGGGGTTAAAGCAAGGGTCTTCAAACTTGGCCCTTTTATGACTTGTGGACTTCAACTCCCAGAATTCCTCAGCCAGGCATGCCTGGCTGAGGAATTCTGGGAGTTGAAGTCCACAAGTCATAAAAGGCCCAAGTTTGAAGACCCCTGGGTTAAAGTGATCAAAATGGCAGCTGTGACTTTGCAGTCCAAACCCACAGTCCTTTCTTAGCATCTGCCAGCGTGAGTTTCCTAAACCTGCCCTTCTGTAGACATCCCTGAATGGAGGAATAACAAATTTTAGAAAGGCAAAGATGGTGAATGGGCCTTTTGATGGACCTTTTGATTTTCCCTATTTCCACAGCTCAGCGAGCTGATGCCCAGACTGAAAGATATGGCAGCCACCATGGATGGGTTCCACCGTTCCTTTGAGTACATCCAGGACTATGTCAACATCTGTGGATTAAAAATCTGGCAGGAAGAAGTATCCCGTATTATTAATTACAACGTGGAGCAGGAATGCAACAACTTCTTAAGGACAAAGGTATTCAACATCCTTATTAAAAAGCTGTAGAATGTATGGATGTCAACGGAAAAGAATAGTTGTAGCTCAGGGTTCAACTACAGGGTCCTTGATGCTCTCTGAGCTTGGTTGTTTTCTTGCAGACACTTCATTACCCAACTAGGTAGCATCATCAGTGCTAGAAGGGAAAGGGTTGCTCTCTGTTTATATACAAGTAGCTTGCAGAGAATAAACCCCACTCCCTTCTACTACTGATAATGTTACCTAGTTGGTAATGGGGAATGAAGCATCTTCAAGAATGCAATCAAGCTCAGAGAGCACCAAGGAGCCCACAGTGGGGTTAGTGAGTTACTATCTTATTCTTAATGCTGCTTATTCAGAGCCCTGGTGTCCTCTGAATTCCTCCTCCATTTCAACTCCAAAAATGACTTGAGGAAATACTCTGCTGGCTGGTTTGGGATCTCCCCAAACCTCTTCACAGAAAACTGGACAGAAGGAGAGAGTAAAACCGTTCTGCCACAAGAAGTTCTCGGGACTGAATTCACACATTTCACTAAGACATTGTTTCCTTATTTAGTCCGCTTTAATGTGTTGTGTGAAGCCAGCCGAATGTAGTTTAGTCAGCAGATCATGATTGAGTAAGCTAAAGTTTAGCACGGTGGGTTAATCCAGCCCCAGGATTTATTGCACTAGACTTGTTTCACTCACTTCTTCCAACGTTATATTTTAAAGTTACACAATCCAAATGCAAACGCAACGGTTGTAAGGCGGCCACTGCAATCATTAAGTGAACGCCACTATTGTTAAGCAAATCCATTGTTCGGAATGGGACAACTCGCCGCGGCCACCATTGTTTGCTATGAGGTATTTTTGCCTAAATTTGGAAATAAATGCTGGTTTCTAGCAAATGTGTCAAAAATGGCACACATGGCTATGTGGGGGGGGGGGAGAGAACAAAACTTTGAAACCAGGTTGTAAGTGCCTGGGGTGGTGTCTGTCAAAACTTCAAACAGTCACTGAGTGATCAGTCATAAGTCAAGGAGTACTGGTAGATGCTGTGGACAGACTGAGAGCAGCCATCAAGAGCCCTGAAACCAACACTACCCATAGATAACACTAGCTAGATAACATTTATTGTCATTTTTTACTGTGGGCACAATGGCACACATTAAAAATGAAATTTAGTTGCTTGCTCTCAAAGTCTACACATACATAACAGATATTTAAACATACCATATACAACATATGTATAGACCTACACCCTTACATATAAGTATCATATAAATATTAATCACTATCCATCTTGAATATATAACGGAAGGAGGAAGCTTTAGAGTTCACAAGGTTAACACTGTATGAAAGAAAACTGTGACTGAATCTGGATGTTCTGCTTCGGATACCACGGAGCCCCCTCCTCCCAGAAGGTAACAAGGAAAACAGGTCGTGAAGAGGATGTGTAGTGTCCCAGACAATCTTACGGACTCTGCACAAGCAGTACTTCTGTGCTATGTCCTGGATGGGAGGGAGGGAACTGCCAATGATCTTTTCTGCCATCCTCACCACTCTCTGCACCGCCTTCCTGTCTGAAGCAGTGATGCTTCCAAACCAGACTGTGATGCTGTATGACAGGATGCTCTCGATCGCCCCTCTGTAGAAAGTGGTCAGGACAGGGGAAGGAAGATGTGCTTTTCTCATGCGACGCAGAAAATGCAGGCGCTGCTGTGCCTGCTTCACCAGTGTCTCGCTGTTGGTTGAGCGACCAAGACAGCCTACTCGTTAACTGCACACCCAGGAATTTGATGCTGGTAACCATCTCCACAGGTGAATCATTGATGCACAGAGAAGTGTGGCCGTGCCTGCCTTTTCTGAAATCGACAATGATCTCTTTGGTTTTTCCAGTATTTAAAATTAGGCTGTTTTCCTTACAGCAGTTCACCACTAGGATACTGTAGTCTTGAAAAACAGCCTGATTTTTTTTTATTTTTTTTTTTGGGGGGGGGGGGGGACCTGCAATTACGTATAGTCAGAGATAGCTCAGAATGATTTCACTGTGCATGTCTTTCAGATTCAAGACTGGCAAAGCATCTACCAATCCACCCATATTCCAATACCCAAATTTGCACCTACAGACGAATCTGTTACTTTTATTGGCCGCCTCTGCAGAGAAATTCTGAGAATCACTGACCCAAAGTAAGCAGACTACATAATTTGCAGATTCCCGTAGAAAATGGACTATTTCCTGACATCTCCACATAGGATCAGCAGACTAAACCAGACAAAAGTTTCATAAAACTCCTACCCCTTCATCTCTTACAGCAGGGGTGTCAAACTCAATTTCATTGAGGGCCGCATCAGCATTGCGGTTGCCCTCGGGGGGGGGGTAGGGGTGGCCAGGATGGGGGTGGCCTACTAGGTGGGTGTGGACGGAGTGGGTGTGGCCTAGTGGGTGGGCATTGCCAGCTCTACATCGTTTGCGTCAAGGGCGCTGTGGGGGCCTGGGCAGGAGTGGGACAGA